TCTTGAGTGTAACAGGGGGCGGTGCCCCAACCCCCCAATCAGCCCTAACCTGAGCATGACTGAGGGTGGCATTGCAACCTCTTGATCCGCCCTGCTCTGTGCATGACAGGGGGCGGCGTCCCAACTCCCCAATCGGCCCTGCTCTGGGCCCGACCAGGGGCTGCAACTAGGGATTGGGCCTGCCCTCTGCCACTGGGGAGTGAACCTATGTCAGCAGGTGGTTATCTCCCGAGGGGTCCCAGACTGCGAGAGGACACAGGCCGGGCTCAGGGACCCCCTTCCCCCCCGAGTGCACAAATTTTTGTGCACCGGGCCCCTAGTATCTTTATAAAACCCTAATTTGCAAATAGACGGGACTGTGGCACAACTGAAGAACCAGTTGCTATGACATGCGCTGACCACCAGGGGGCATGAATGGAACATGGTAGGTGACAGCAGCAGGTGGCAGAGTGCAGAACATGGTGGACATTGGCTGTAGTGGCATGGTGGAGCAGGTGAGCGGGAGTGCCAGACCAAGGTGGGGCACCTATTGCTGTCATCGGGGGAGCCTCTGATGGTTACTGAAAATTCTTTGCTCCCATGCACCACAGTCCCACCCGGTGCTCGCACCTGCTCCCAGTGCTGCTCCCACTCACACCTGCTGCCAGCGCCTAGTGCCAGCCCCAAACGCTCAGCTCCGTCAGTGGGTGCGAGTGGCAGCTGCCAGCCCCAATTGCCCCTCAGGGCTTCTCCACCTCCCGCAGATCCTGAGGGGCAATCAGGGTGACTGCAGGTGCTAGCGCCAGTCCGATCACTTGGGGCCATCAGCGGGTATGAGCAGCAGCTGCTGGTCCCAGTCTCCCCTGAGGACTTCTCCACCTCTCCCTGCTCCTGAGGGGCGATTGGGGCAGCAGCCACCACTCGCACTTGCTGACGGCACTGGCCCCAATAGCTCTGTGCCATCACCAGATGCAAGCAGGACCGGCACCATAAGTGCATGGGAGCAGCGGCGGCAGGAGTGGGGCTGCCTGACAGATGGGACCAGGGCTGTGGCGGGAGGGACTGGTTGGGGGTGTGGACGATGGGCTGAGACCCGTCCCTGTGCCCACAGCAGCCTCGCGGCCCACAGTTCCTTTCAAGGTGCATGAATTCGTGCACTGGGCCCATAGTATAGATTATAATTGAATTAAAATAGTATGATGGAATGAAACCTACTTTTTGTTTTGTATTTTTTAAAGATGGACATGCTGAAAGGAGTCATTTCATGCCTCTTGTAATTAGAGAGAGAGAGATTGAACACACACAGAGAAATCTCTCTTAACAGTGAGAGATGTGAGTTAATTTACTGTGGGCCATCATGGACATTGCCACTCATATTTAACAATAGCTGATAGATTGAACATTATGAGAAAGAGAAATATTTTTAAATGCCTCAGTATCTTCAAACCAGCATTTATTTGGTTATTTTGAGTTTTTATTTCTGAATGTATTTCAAGGCTTAACTGCTGATTTAATTTTTATCCTAATAATTGCTGGCAGATTTATTTCCTTGGAATGTTTTATAAATGAATAATAATAAAGCAAACAATTATATATCTGTGTCTGTTTACTGTTCTAAGCACTTTACATATATTAATCCAATTAATCCTTACAAGGATTCTCTAAAGAAGTATGTTTATACTCATTTTGCATATGGGGAAACTAAGGCACAGTTAGTTTAAGCAGCTGGCCCAAGATCACATAGGTCAGAAGTGGCAGATCTAGGATTTAAGCTCCTGTGATCTGATTCCAAAATCAGTACTGTTTATTGCTGTACTTTACTGTTTCTTAAAATAAATAAGTAAGTAAAAAGCTTCTTCTTCTTGTGGCCCTTATCGAAGCTGCAGCTGCTTCCACGTAGCTGCTGCGGTCAAAAGGAGCCCAGAGTGACAGTTTTCCTTAACGGTTGCCATTCTGTTTGCTGTAACTGATCTGCAACATTTCAGGAAAAGACAATTCTCATTGAAAAAGAAAAATAGAGAAAAAAGGCTTCTTCCTACCATGAGGAAAGATGAATGTTGGGATTTGTGATAGTCGCTAAGGTTGTCAAATTATGGGAAGATGTCTTGTCCAAAAGAACTTACCAAATAAGAATATTAATTTTATAAAAACATTTTAGTGGTTCATAAAATTCATAATTTTGAATGATGGAGAAGACAGACAAACTATGGAAGAGTATAATGGGAACTTCAAAGGCCCTGGTAATATTCTGTGTTTTTTAGCTAGTTGATAGTACATGAGTATTTTGTTTAAATTTTTAACTACACCTATGTTTCATATGTGCTTTTCATTACTATCCTATATAATAAAGAGCTAATATGCTAATTAGACCGAACAGCAGAACGACTATCCAGAAGACTTTCTGGACAACTGTCCGGAAGTCAGGTCTGCGAAGGCCGAGGCAGCTGGGGCTGCGAGGGCCAAGCCCCTTTCACAAATTTCATGCATTGGGCCTCTAGCTACTATAAATGTTTAAGATTACCTATCCTGCTCCCACCAATGTTAAAGATGTATGTGTCTCTCTGTTTTGCTTTTTATCCAATCCTAGAGATTTCCCGGTTTTGCTTTCTTCTGAACCCTTAATCTACCACCAAAAAATTTCATTTAACCCTCCTTATGACTTTTCCTTTTATTCTAATCCTATATAATATGCTAAGTGTCAGGTCATCCATTCAACCAAAGCATAATATGCTAATGATATGCTAAGGCCGCTCAACCGCTTGCTATGACATGCACTGACCACCAGGGGGCAGACAGTTGACCAGTCAACCAGTCGCTGTGATGTGCACTGACCACGAGGGGGCCAACGCTCAAAGCAGGAGCTGAGCCCTGGTGGTCAGTGCGCTCCCACAGAGGGAGCGCCACTCAGTCAGAAGCCAGGCTCAGAGCTGGCGAGCGCAGCAGCGGTGGCAGGAGCTTCTCCTGCCTCTGCGGCAGCACTAAGGATGTCCAACTGGAGGAGTGGGCCTAAGCCGTCAGTTGGACATCCCCTGATGGCTCCTGGACTGTGAGAGGGTGCAGACTGGGCTGAGGGTCTGCAAATTTTGTGCACCGGGCCTCTAATGTTTTATAATTATCAAAAATATTTACTGATCTAGTTGATTTAAGTATAATAATGGGTTGGAGGAAGGGGAAAGAAAGAAAAATAGAACCTAGCAATTTTTATCAACATGTCAAAGTCAACAATTTATATTAATAATAACCTTTTGGTTTTTTAAATAGTTTGTTGTGTTGCTGTGAGAAACTGTTTAGAATGTCGGCAGAGACAAAGAGACAGAGGGAACAAATCTTCCCATGGAAGCAGTAAACCTCAAGAAGCAACCCAAAGTATGATTGCCATAGCAGCTTCAAAGGTAATTCAAAATTTTCTATATTAATATAATTTACCTTAATTTTTTTTAACTTTATGAGAACAAAATTTCAATATTGCTTAATGAAGACAAAGGGTTTATTGATCAGACATCACCAGGTTCCAGTGCTGGCTTCTCTCTTCATAATGTGGCACCAAGATATTTAACCACTCTGAGACTTGAATTTTTGTTTTTTACATGAAGATACTAATAATATCTACTTCATAGGGCTCTTTTCAGTATTATAGCATACATAGATCTGAAAAGTTCTTAGTTATAACTATTTTTAATACATATATTTTATACAGATTTCAATATATATTGAATAATGAATGAAAAATGAATGAATAATATATATTACATGAGTGAATAATGTTCTTTTGGTGATAGACATTCCCATAATGTTCAATAAAAATACATTGAATGTCCAGGAAATGAATGAACAGTGGAGAGTATTTTGGAACCTGCTATTAATCATTATCCTAAATTAGCTCTCTTTATCATATGTTTAAGTGACTCTGCAACTTTATTCCCCTTACCCTTGCTTTTACCTTTTTAGTCACATTATACACTTCATTCATTTCATCAGAAGAATCTCTTTATTCTTTATTTACTGACTTTTACATGGGTTCCCTTTTCTCGAAGTTTACATCCGTATTTTTTACCCAACTAAAATCTATTCAACTTTTGGCTATAATTAAGGGCTGCTCTGTGGAAAATGTTTTGAGATACCATCATTGCCACCCTGATCTAGGGTAGATATTTGTTTGATATTTTCATAAAATTCTGTATGTCTCATCACTCACTCCACTTGTAATTAGACGTTTGATATTGGCACATGATTTTTCCCCTCAATAAGTGAAGGCATGGAATAGAAGTTTAGTTCATTTAAAAAGTTCTATGGCTTCAAACTTGTGCAGTTTTTAAACAGAACAACCACATATTTAGTATATCAGCATTGCAGCATCTTTCCTTTTCACTACATTTAGAAAAACATTCATGGAATAATTAGACTACATATTATTTTACTGCTCACAAGTTTCCACAGGACTCTCCATTGCTTAGAAAATTAAATATAAAAACATTAGCAGTAATACCTCATGTTATTTTTGTGGGCATAGTAAAGTTTAAGTTACTTGAGAGCATTCCATATCTTGTACATCTTTGTAATTCCATAGCTTGTATAGCACTGTGAGCACTTTATCAAAAGAGCACAAACTCTAGATCAGACAGTTCTGAGTTTGTATCCTGGCTATACCACTTAGTGGTTTTGTGAGTCAAGACATATTCCTTAAGCTCCTGTGCCTCAGTTTTCCAGTCTTTAAAATGGATCTAATCTTAACTTAAAAGGTGTTTGTGTGACTTAAATAAAAAAACAATAATGTATTAAAATATTTAATTCCTGACATGCAGTGAACATTAATTCCCTTCCTTTTTCTAGCAGTTAACCACTCATGAAATGAATAAATATACTACTATTTTTTAGAGCTTTGATTTTAAAGATGTCTGTACTCAATTCAGGAGGCAAAGCAAACTTTTCAAGACAGTCAAGCCAAGTATTACTCTGATTGTAGAATATGAACAGAAAAGTCCAAAAAGAAGGAAATTTGTAGTATTTTAGTTGAGGTAGTCCATGTCTCTAGCAAGAACCTTGGCAATGAAAAATGGATAATAAGTTATCAATATAGAAATATTAGAGGAAAAGTTGACTTAATAAGATAACACATATCTGGACAGAGAATCAATGGACCAGTTGGAGATTGTTCCTTTTTTACTTCCTGTCATA